CACCACACCTGGCAATATGAAATATTTTTATAAAAAATGTAACTGTGTTTTCCAAAACAAAGGAAATGTAACGAAAGCCAAGAACATGGTGCATGGCTGTAATCCCAGCTACTCAGGAGACTGAGGAAAGCGGAATGACTGAGCCCAGGAGTTCCAAGCCCACACTGGAAAACATGACAAGGCTCTATCTCGGGGGTGGGGCACTGATGAGAAGAACGGCACACTGTTTTGTACTTTTATAAATCTCTTCATTGTTCAGCTATTTCTCAGATCTGCTAATACACTTGACGTGAAGTGCCACGTTATGTAGCCTCACACCGTATTCCACTCTGCCTCTGAGAGAGAATAAGAGTGAAAAAACAAGTATATCTTAGTGTTAATATGAAAATACGGTTTTAACTTCATGGATGCCCCAAGGGTCTTGAGACTACATTTTGAACATTGCTAGTTTAGTTTATCTGTATTTTCTACATTCAGCTTTAATAAACTACAACTTTTAAGAACATTTTCAGGATCCTATGGTTGTTCAAATATATTTTAGGGTTACAGAGAGGAATTTGATTTTTGAACTCCTGCATGTCTATGGAGATTACCTCAGTGTGTTATATTTTGAGTGTGCATCTTTGCTTCATTTAATAAATTTACTGTAAACAATCAACTCTAAGTTTATTTCATAGTTCTATTTTTATTTTAGTTTTCTAATACTACATTTTTACTTTTTATCCTTACTGTGTTTTCTTTTCTTAGTTATACCTTATTTATTTTTCTAACTTCTAGTTTCTATTTCCTTCCCTTTTGCAACAAAACTCTTAAGAGCTGTCTGTACCTACCATATCTAATGCTTATTTTCTCTTACGTCTACTTTAATCTCAGGCTTCTGTTACCACCTTTCCGTAACTAAATTAACTTGCATTCCTCATCTTATCTGATGTATCAGCATAACTTGACAAAGCTAATCCACCAAATTTGATTTTTTTCATGTCTGGTATGAAGACGAGCCGAGATTTATTTTCTTCCCTATGGATAAGCATTTGACTGAGCACCATTTGTCTTTCACGCATCTCCCTGCCAGCATTTGTGTATTAAAGCTATTTTCAAATCAAATCAAATCCACATACGTGTGGATGCTTCTGTAATCCATAAAGTGCCATTATTCTATGCGTTGGTCCTGAACCACTATCCCTTAACTTAATTACTATACTTGATGATTTTTAATATCTAGAAGTAAGTTTTATAATTTGTGTTTCTTTCCTGATTGTCTTAGCTATTTTTAACTTTTCCATCCTTATATAAGTTTTAGAATTGGCTTGTTGATTCCACTTTAAAAAGTCAGCTTTTCATTGTGATTTTGCTAAGCCTACATAGATGAATGTGAGAAAAGCTGACTTCTTTAAATACTGAATCTTGAAATCCTTGAATGCAGGTTATGCTTCTATTCATTTAATCTTCTGTTTTTAAAACTTTATTTTTCTTTATTAGTTCATGTTTGCAGTATGTAATGTTCACATTCATCGTGGGGAATTTGTACATGTACATAAGATATCTTAATTCTTTTTTATTGTCCTCCCCATTTAGATCTGCTTTACTTTTCCCCTGTAAAGACTCAAGAGTCTTCTATGTCATCATACGTCTGATTTTTATCCCTACATATGTGATTTTTTGATGCAAATCTAAATTACACATTATCTCAATTTTGTTAGTGTTGCTTCATAGAAAAACAACTATATTGTATGTTAACTTTGTATCCTTGCTAAACTCACTGACTAATCTTAATAATTTTCTGAGTATATAACTGTAACATCCATAAATAATAGCACTTTCTAATCTTCATCCTTTCTTTTTCCTACATTATTGTGTTGGCTAGGACTTCTAAAACAATTCTGAATAGAGAAAGTGATAAAGAATATTCTTGATCTTTTCTCTCATTAAGAAAGTTCTAATATTGTAGCATTAAATATGACACGTGGGTTTTGCAGATACCTTTCTTCAGATTACTTAAATTACTGTTCTTATTTTGACACAGAACAAACGTTGAATTTCTTTTTTTTTTTTTTTTTTCTTTTTTTGGTCTTGTTTGAGACTATGCAGTTCATGCTGGCCTTGAGCTCACTTTGTAGCCCAGGCTGGTCTTGAACTCAAAAACAATCCTCTTGCCTCAGCCCCCTGAGTGCTGGGATTATAGGTGTGAGCCATCATGCCCCATTTTATTATTATTATTACTATTTTTGGTACTGGGAATCAAACTCATGATCTTGTGCTTGCCAGGCAGGTGCTGTGCCAACTGAGCTATATCCCCAGCCCCCAAATGTTGAATTTCGTGTTTTTTTTTTTTTTTTTTTAAGCATTTGGTTTTATTGGCATTTAACACTATCATTTAGGCATTTACCATACTGTTTTACTCCATAATTTTTCCTTTATTCTCTTAATGTACTGAATTACACTGATTGGTTTTTCAATATTAAAACCAAACTTACATTTCCTAAAATAATATAAACTGGATCAAAACATATTAGTCTTCCAATACATTACAAATTTAATTTAATAATATATTATTTAGGATACTTCATCTATATTCATGAGGGATTTGGCCGTGATTTCTCTGTTCTTGTCATCTCCACATCAGAGAGCAGTGTCACGATTATGCTGGCCTTACCATAATAAACTGTGAAATGTGTCCTTTTTCCTCTGTTCCTTAGAAGTTGTAGATGAAATTTTACTTTGACAGTTGTTTTTTTCCTAGCACGTAAGAGCTATCTTTCTGTTGTCTCGTAGCTTCTTGGTTTCCGTCCGAAATGAAACCCCTCTGCCTCAGCACCACCTCACAGTGCAGCCCGAGCCTGCCCGCCTGCAGTGGGCACGGCACAGCCCTCACTCCCCACTGCTGCCCCGGGATGCTGAGAATGAAGCTGCCACGAAAGCCAACGCATTCTGTGCAGTTACTGACCAAGCCAGAGGAGTGAGAGAAAAAAATGACATGATCTGTTTCAGCCAGTCTCAGAACTGTTCCTTTGGAAGCCTTTTTTCCGTCTCACTACTGTTAATATTTTTCCTTTGACTTTAGTTTTCAGTTATAATGGATACATATGGGTATGGTTTTCTTTTAATGCTAATCTTGAGATTTACAGTATTTCTTACATCTGTGCCTTAAGGTTTTCAAAACCACATTTTAGAGATTTCTGTCATCATCTCTTCAAAGACTGTTCTGCAACACTCTTCCTCTCCCATCCTTCTGCGACCCTAATTACTTTTTCAACACATTTTGTGCCACATTGAAGGTGAATGCTTAATTTTTTTTTATCTTACTCACTTTGATAACTGGTTCACATCCTTCTCCACAAGTGCAAGCAAGCTGTGGCACAAGGCTGATCAGAGTACAGAAACACGATGCCGTGCCACGGCCCAGCCCCGTACCACAGGTGACTGAGTGTGCCTACATACACTCCCTCCCTCTTGAGAGGCCTCTTCTGGGAGAAGACAGACGTACACAGGAAGTCCAACTACCCTGAAACTACTGTTGAGGGAGAGAGAGAGACAGACAGACAGAGACACACACAGATACAGACAGAGGCAGAGACAGACTAGCCTGACAGAAATGCTAGTCTTCTCAGTTTTAGCACCAGACCTCAGGGTGGGAGAATGGAAAACCTCACCAGTTTTTTTTTTTTTGTTTGTTTTTGGTACTGGGAATCGAACTCAGGACCTTGCACTTGTCAGGAAGGCACCTGTGCCACTGAGCTGTATCCCCAGCCCAACCTCACCAGTTTTTACCTGGGCTATTTCTCTGGGCTAAGGTTAGAGCTAGCAATTTGAGAGATGAGCACATTGCTCTCCCACCCATGGCTACAAGTACTATAGGCACAGATCAACTTAATATAATCACTGAACGAGATATTTCAAAGCTGGGATTTATTTCTAAGGTGCAGGTGGCATTTTGGGGTTCCAAGCTAAGCACAGAGGGTTTACTAACACTAACTCCTTAACCTCAGTGGGCTCCAAACACTTGTTTTTGTTTCTCTAGCCTAAAGTGCCCATCAAAAACACTCAGAGAAAAGGTGGCTTGAAATGTTAGGGTCATCTTTCTCTGCCTTATCAATATTCTGATACATTTAAATACATGTTTTTTATATTTTGTCCACTTTTCTCAACGTTTAGAATGCTCATTCAAATCACTTCATCCAACATCACCAGAAGGCCACTACTCCAAAAACAGGCTGCATTTAATTTTTTTTTGGTACTGGGAATTGAACTCAGGACCTCGTGCTCGCTAGGGAGGCACTTATGCCGCTGAGCTACATCCCCAGCCCTCAATGCAGTTAATATTAAGCAGTTTAGAAATTCTGTTTTCTATCTTTCTCTTCATGATGGTCTAGACACACAGAATGCTTTCTTTTAAAGTATGCATTTTACCAGTATCTTTAAAGGTGACATGTATTTTCAAATAAACCAAAAAGGTAACACTTTGTTAACTTTATAAATACGATTTGCACAAAAACATTTTGTCTGAAGCAAGGAAAACAAATAATTTGTAATTAATTTATTTTTAAATAATCTTTTAAAGATTTTTCCATTACATTTTCACAACTTCCAAGTTCAGCCCCATCCGTTCTTACAATTCTGCCTGGAAAGCTTTCCTGTTTACTTTTTGTTTCTCTAAGATCAACCCTTCTTCTTAATTTAAGAAGAATTCACTAAGTAATTTCACAATTAAATTAGAAAAGAGAAGAAAACCTATTTCAGCTATTAATATTTTAATTATATCATTACTTATTGATAATTAAACTATCAATATTTTAATACCTTCCTCTTCTAATCATCTCTAAACATTAACATTATCTAGAAATAGAATATCACTTATGACCTAAAGGTTTTTAAATATTTCAACACAATATAGTTTTTTTCTTGCATTCTTCTTGCCTTAATAAAACTCTATCATAACCTTATGAGGACCTGAAGTTGAGTTCTGAAAGTCTGGGAGAAACACTGTGACTACCAACACTTACAGTGAAAAATGCGAAAATCAATGTATGGATGAGAGCCTCTTCTTTCTGATTCAAATCCTGCTCGGCTCCTCACACGTACATCTCCTGGAAGAATGAAATGTAAGTTTAGAAGGCTACCATTGTGAAGACGCTTCCCCATGCAAAGAAGGCCTATGTGGTATTATAAAAAAAGATGGCCCATTAATGACATAATAGCAAGGGGTTCTGTGGGAGGGGTTCACGAGCTTTCAGTACCGAGGTATAAGGCTGGTTAAAGATGATTTTTAAAAAAAATTACCCCCATAATCATCATCATCATCATCATCATTATCATCTCATCATCTTTGCTTTAAAGCAAGCAAGCCTTAAAGAATAATTCAAGCGTATGATAATCCAACCTAATACCACATGGCATTAAAAGGGAAATAAAATCTACAGTATAAGAGACAGATAATCCTCAGCACAAAAGCTTGAAAAGTCACAGCAAGAAGTAAGTATTTATTATGTGCCTACTCTGTGTCTAGTCTATAAGGGACATGAAAAATAGAAAAATACATTATTTACTTTCAAGCATAAAGTTTACAATTTCATAAATATGTAGCAAATTAAATCGTTACAGACTTTGCCACATCCTGTTTGATTAATCTTCTCTTATCTCACCATTAGTGGTATACTTAAGGTTTTTAGCTGGCTTAAAGTTTGGTTTCTATAAGCTTAGTGTTGCTCCCACACGTATGCACATGACATAAAGATTTATTTTTCTATATAATAACATGACCATAGCAGCCATGTACCAAGCACTCTTTTTGTCTTACAGAAATGGCCTTATTGAATTCTCTAATAAAGTTCAGGCAATTTTAATCTCCACTTTATAGACACAGCAACTGCACTCTTAGGAGTTAAATAGCACGCTCCCTGCCACAAAGCTAGCACAAACTTAGCCCTAGGGGTTTCAAAAACAACACTTTTTTCATTACATTTTTACAGCCTCCAAGTTCATAGCCCTGATTCTTCAGCCCCATCCCCATACTCTTGCAATTCTATCTGGAAGGCTTTCCTGGTTCTGTTTTGTTTCTCTAAGTAAGAGCATCCCTTCCTTCCAGGCAATTTCATCCTACAGGACTCTGTCCCACACTGACTGACCACCTCTCTCACGTGGTGATTCCCCTCACATGGCAACAAAGGTTTACTGAGCACCTGTATGCAGCAGGCATGGGACATACGGCCCTGAACAATATACTGAAAGTCCTTGCTCATGAAGTTTATCTTCTCATTGAATGAGACAAAAACATAAAATACGTAACTTCATTTTATGGAAGATGACAAGAAGATGCATGGATAAAACTGAAAGGTAAGAGGAACAGGGAGGATGAAAGAGGGGGTGGGGTGATTTATCAGTGTGGTAAGGACATCCCCACTAAACAGGATGTGTATGAGGACAGACACCAGGGAAATGAGACAGTGAGCCGTATGTATCAGGAGGAAGAGGTTTCCAAGGATAAGGACTGCAGGAACAAATACCCCAAGATAGAGTACACTTTGGGGGTTCAAAGATATGCAAAGAGGCCAATATGGCAGGAGTAAGGTGAGGGAAAGAATTGGTAGGCGGTGAGGTTGGACAGCCAATACAGCCACTGTACAGTGGGCCTTTGTGGCCATTATAGCAGCTCTGGTTATTACCGTAACATAAAGAGCCATTAGAGGATCCTAAACAGAGGAGCAAGATGACTTAACTTATGCCTTAAAAGGTTTCCTCTGGCTGCTACGATTAGAAGAGACAGGTGGACACAACATTAGGTATTTTATGGCCTCACAGAATAGACAGGACCAGTTAGCAAACAAATACAAGGCGATAGATAGGGTTTAGGTTGGGGTGGTAATAACACCAGCTGATGAGATTCTACATATATACTGGAGGTGTGTACTGTAACAGGTGTGTACTATAACAGACAGACATGCAGTGTAGAAGAAAGAGAAGTCAGGGATGACTCTAAGTTTTTGACCTGACAATTGGAAGACATTACATTTATTGATATGGCAAAAGACTACCAAACAAAGGGGGAGTACAAGCTTTAAATTTGAGGTATCCAAACATACCCACGTGGAGATGTTCCAAAAAATTAAAGACAATGAGTGATCAAAATGTATGGTGAATTCTAAATTACAAAAAATTCATTACAGTATAAGTGGTACCCATTACTATTAATCCGTCTCACTTCAGACGGACTTGCCCGTCATTCCTGTCATTTTGTGGAGCAGTTCTATAATTCGTTTGTGTCTTCATAAGATGTGATCAAAAATATGGTACATGCTGCTGCCAAGTACCAGTCAATGGAAAGGCAGGCTCAAAAAAACATTGAAGTACGTCCTCACGTTTGCCTTATTCACAGGGTTGGGCACTGTGTAACTCTGGCTCTTCCCCAGAGTCAAAATGACCGTGAAAGCTTAAGTGTTTTAAACTGACTCAAGATACTAAGGCACCCACAACAGCACAACTAAAGTCACGCATGAAACAGGACTTCCAAACGGCTTCAGAAAGTGGCAAGAATGACAGATAAGGAATATTTAAAGGGAGGGGGATATCTTGAGAGGTATGAATAGAAATGTGTATTCCACTCTAATAATTTTTAAAGGAATATTTAAACATTCACTTTATTTTTCAATCACACTACCTATCAAAATACCTAGAGCTATTTTAAGGATAAGAGAATCCTAAACATGTTTGTAGAATGAGATACAGGAGGTAAAGAGGCTGAACATTTATGAGAAAAAAAAAATAAGTACTAGGGCAGAACAGAATTGAGGCGGGACACAGACAGTACACTAAAGGGGAGAAAAGAAGAGCAAAATCAAAACCTTGGGGAATGTTTACACTTAAAAAGACTGAGGTATGTGAAAAATAAAGATGGCTCAATACATTAAAGACAGAAGAATTCTAAGCATGAGGAATGGAGCCACAGGAGACTCCTCTAACAAAGGATGAGGAAATCTGCCTACTGGAAACTTAATACACGTACACGTTCAACAGTATGAATTAAAGTGCAAGGGGTCACTGAGTGTATGGATGAGGACAGAGCCCTGGCAAGGAGATGAAAAGAAAAGTTGCACATATATTTACAAATCAGTCAACCGAGAACAAAGTATCGCCAGGTATCTTGTTCTATCACGTCTATCTGATCAGGTATTTTATGGCCTCGTCTTCATCCACGCTGACACTCATCTCTTTCATTTAGCAACTCTACAAACCTATCTTTGATGAAGAATGTGCAAAAATTGGTTTAAAATTGTGTACTGATGAGATAGGCAAGTGGCCCACTCCAGTAATCCCAGCACTCTGGGAGGCTGAGGCAGGAGGATCACAAGTTTGAACCCAGCCTGGGTAACTCAGTGACTTAGCCGAGAACCTGTCTCAAAAAAACAAAACAAAACATCACTAATGAAAGTGGCCTAGATAATAAGCCAGAGATTTCTCAATTACCTATAAATCTAAAATGCCTTTATTTATTCGTATCACATTTAACACTGGCTTGCAGACTCTAAGTTTTGATGCAATAGGTTATCTCTTCTACAAAAAATTATGAAAAGCTATGTAATGAAAGATACATCAACCTCAAATAATAATATATGATATCAATGCTAAAAACCAAATAGTGCTTACCTAGCATACGAATGTATAATGCAGTCTGATCGGAACTGTCATAGGAAATGGCTCCACGCCTCTAGGGAAAAAAAACAACATTTTACTACATAGCAATAAAATGTAATCTGAAATTCATTTTAGAAACACATAGATTTATTATATACACTTGTCCCTTGCTATATTGCGGTTCACTTATTGCAGCGTCACTGTACTGCAGGTTTTTAAAAAAAAATCTAATTCTGTATTGCAGAGTTTTTGCTGTATCGCGGGATTTTGTGGTATATAGGTATTTATATAATATTTATGATTTTAATTATTTTTGCCTAAAAAATTTAAAACAATGTGAAAATATAAAAGATGTTAATTCAAACATATTAAAAGAATATTAAATTGAAATAAAATATAGTATGTATTTCATCAGTGGCTGAATACCATACTGTACACAATGGAAATGCAGTATTGCACAAGTTTGCACAAGTTTGCCAACGTGAGATTGTACATGGCACACTACTGGCTGATGGAATGGAAGGTGACCAACCACAGCACTGTGTTCTGTATCCTGGGCGCTGATTGGCTCAGTGACTGTAGCATCAGTCTGTTTGCTCTCCCACACTGTGCCCACATGTTCAGCATCCCTCCTTGTCCACTTCTCATCGAGTACCCATATAGAATTTTACATGTTGTTAAAATTACGTAGGTTTAAGACTGTAGAAAGTGTTTAAGAGCATATGAAGTATTTGTAAGAGTGTGGGAAAGGTTAATAAGAGTAAGAAAGGAGTGTGGGAAGGGTTTATAAAGCCTTAAATATATATATAAAAAATAAAATAAACATAAAGCCACTACTTTGCCGATTTTCACCTATCACAGGGGTCTCTGGAATGTAACTGCTGCAATAGGTGAGGGATCACTGTATTACTGTGAAGCATTGTGCAAGAAAACCTGGATATACAAAAGGAAATTACATATGGTATCTTCTCTGTAAATGTCTAATTGAAGGATAGACAAATACTTCTAATACAATATAAAGTAGTTAGTAAGTATCATAAAAGTAAATAGAGAGTGGAAATGATCTTTGAGAGGCATCCAAATTTTTTTTTTTTTTTTCTTTGTGGTACTGGGGATTGGACTCAGGGCCTCTGAATGGTCGATACATTTCCAGGCCTTTTCTTTATTTTTTATTTTGAGACAGAGTCTCACTGAGTCACTAAATTGCCCAAGCTGGGTTCAAACCTGTGATCCTCCACAAAATTTAACACATTTCCCATGAGATTCCAACATTCAGAACAGAGCCTAGCACAGTGATAGTAATCAATAAAAACAGTTCAATTAAAAGGTCTAAGAATTTTTTTAAAAGCAGTAATAAATGAAACTGGGACTACAAGATTAATATATAAAATGGAATGGTATTGCAAAGAAATGGGGAAAACAAAACAGAATCTAGAAACAAATTAAAGAATACATAGTAATATTGAATATGATAAATATAAGACAAAATTTGGGTAGGAAGAATTATTTATTAATAAGCACCAAGAAAAATGCTCAACCTCATTCAAAAGAGAAATACACATTAAAGTCATAATTTGCATTTTTACTACTAGATGAATGGTCTTCACAGAACTCTGGCATGTGGTTTACAGCCCCCCAACAAATAGCTACAAATCTCAAGGGAAAAACAAAGTTTTAAAATTATAATTATAAAGCTTTAGTATGCAAAACAATTCCTCAAACCTTAAATTATATCCTTAATGTTTATGATTTAAGAGAGAAATATCAATTAAAATCTTGCATGATTTCATGTATTTTTTTTTAAAGTTCATTAAATGTAGGAGAAACTGACATTTCAACCAAAAATAAATTCTAACTATCAACACTGGTTGTCTCGATGGTGAGGGACACAGACGTAGGAAGGCGGCCTTTTAATACATAGCTTTATACCTTGGTTTTGTAGTAAGTATAGTCATTACATGACCACAAATTAAAATTAAAAATGAAATACAAGTCCCTTACACAGAAAAGCATGATCCCAAATCCCAAGTGACAAAACCATACAGAACACACCTCCAGCATCCTGCTTACCATGTCTTCTAACAATAGAAAAACTGGGTAATGGAAATCATCTAGATTATCAGTTATGATATACTAAATTTACTTTACAGTAATCATTTAGACTTATTTACAGGATCATTAATTTAGATATTTAAAAGGTAGGACCTATATTAATCTAAGCAAAAATTTACCAAAAAGGCAAAAATTCAATTTTAAGTATATATAATAACAAATTAAGGATGTGCAAATCACTCAGATCTTTCCATTAACTGAAAAGTATTAAGTAAGGCCAGTCTACAAATATTTGGCTTACATGCTACACCGAACCACAAGACATAGTTGTTACTAAATAAATCCAACTGAGACAAAACTTTTTTTAAAGAATAAGCTTTAAAAATTAAGTCTGAGCCCATCAATGAGTACCACCTGGGTAAATCATTTACCTCTTTAAGGATTAAGAGTACAATGAATATTATTAAGTTCTTCCATTAAGCAACCTAGGTAGAAAAATCTAAAATAATTCCTTTTAGAAAAACACACTATAAATTGTGAATTGGGACAATGAAACTTTGCTTCCATGTTAGAATCATTATTTAAAAAATATCTGTGCTTTATACACTAAGTGTGTTGCACACGCAATATATAGTTCTTTAAAGAGTATCATTTTTAAAGCTATGTATTACTAGACTTTCACTCGTAATAAAAATAGTAAAACAAATCTCATTGAATTTCTGCGTCACAGGTCAGTCACAACGTACTCTGGGCTAACATCCACGTTCCCACCTCACCTAACCAGTGAATGGAAATAACTGAGGCTGCTACTCGTGACTCTTCTAATTTAGCCATCCTGGGAACAGCTTGTAAAGCAAACTAGTATAGGTCAAAACATGGGCGAGGCTGAGCTAATCAGAAACTGACAGCCGCAGCATAAACAAGTTAAACTGTAAGGTTCCAAAGACTTCACAGGCGTTCTGAGAGTCCTGGTAAGATACTAACTCACCTTGAATCAGGGTGAATCATTCTTCCATAAAGATTTGACTTGAAGGCAAATGACAAAAGGCATAAAAGTTGTTCACAATATTAGTTAATACATAACTTGTAAAGACAGACATGTTTTAAATCCCAGTGAACACATCTGAAGTGCCACTGTTTATTTTGCTCAAGTTTTCTATTAGATGATCTAACACACAAAAACAAGTGTATTTTTCTTAAATCTAAGGGACTAACAGAAAATGCCCCAAGTGCCTTCATACAAAATTTCATTTCACCCAAATGAGAACTCTATAAGGTAGGCTTTAGTTAGTTCTACTTGTAACTAGTGAACTAATGACTAAAATGCTTAAACATGGTAGCACTAAATAAAATTTCTAGTAAAATACCAAAAAACCATACCATATAAGCAGTACCATAAGCACAGCCCAAGTTCCAAAGCAGTTTTCTCTGACATAGTACAATAAGCTCTCTCAGAATACATACACCTTACACCTGCTGGAAAAATTAGCTTGTGTTTCACTGCCTAAAGGATTCAAGTATTGCACTGGGTCACTTCCTATTCTTCCTCTCTCTCATACTTCTTTGAAATAAAATATTAGAATTGTTTTGTTTAAAAACTTAGTTTTTTGGTGAACCATTTAAAAAAATCAACAATTCAACTACTGCATTATTAATATTAACTTGACCTTCATTCCATAACTTGGCAAGCTAATCCTTAAAAAAATAAAAACCAAGAAAATAGCTCTTAGTACCACAAAATTAATTCTTAACCTTTAAAACACTAGTTTTTTTTGTCATATGTTTTTGTTTCTTGAAGAGATTTCTTCAATTATATTCACTAAGAGGAACACTTCAAGTAAGAGAGCGCATGCTTAAAACATGCAAAAATGTGAAAAATTACATAGCAGAGATTAAAATCTTCCTTGAAAAAGCAAATTAAGTTTTCAGGAGCTTTATGCTGCTTAGCGAAGTGGTGCTTAGGAAATAGTGATGGGCTTATACACTTTAATTTAATACTCTTCAGTATCTTAATATGGAAAGAAAAAGGATGGTAGATGAAAGATATAATCATTTTTATACAAGTGTATAAAAAGTAATTTCTAATAGTATAATCTTAAGTATTTCTTTAGTTTTAGACTCTTGTCCAAATGGCAACTGACCAGTTAGCATTCTCTCAAGCAAATCTCAAGCCTGATGTTTAGTATTACCCTTGAAAAACAAGATTTAATCTTATATTTTTGTCAATATATTATAGGTAAGGCATATATTTATTATTAGCAAGACCTTAAAAAGAAAACATGACAGAGGGTGGAGCTTTAGTGTTTAAAAAGCTCATCATTGTTTAGAAATACTCAATAACTATAATTTAAAATACAAGAAATAGTAAATTCTTTTCCTCCAAAAGAGAATGTTTAAACTGTGTATACCCAAAGTCTACATTAATTTTATATTATTAAAAGTTGGACTTCTTTAAAAACTTCTTCAAGGGAATAACACTGAGGAAAGCTACTTTGATAGTGAGGAATGATATCATAAAAAGCTCCTGAGAAGGAATAAAATGAGGTAAAAATAAAAATTATAAATAATAATTTTAAGCATTTTAGCTGACAGAACTCATAGCTCCTTTAATCAACAAAATAAAAACTGATACATAAGAAAATTATGTAGCTATTTCATTTCTATCAAATATGCAAATTATTAATGTCACAATCCCCAAAATAAAGACGGCCTACCTTAGATGTGATCCACTTGATAAGAACCAAGGCCAGACACCAAATCAATGTAATTCCCATTGAATCAATCAAAAGCCTGCTGCATAATCCCTCTCCGCCCCCAGTGAGCTACGAGCAAGAAACACCTCTCAGGAGTCTGATAAATAAGCAGCTGTCCGGAGGCAGAAGAGAGGGGCACTGACTGCCCTGAGGCTCAGGCAGCTGCTTTCCAACGGCGATCACCTGACCCCTGGGAGAATGCAGAGCCCAGCCAGCCTTCTTGCCCAGTGCATGCCTAATGCCACATCCCGGTGCTGGGGCAGAACGG